TTTTCGTGCGTTCCTGATAGAAGGTCAGAAATGCTAGAGCGGAGGAGGCGCTTGGTGGGGTAGTGTGCAATCGAAAGCTTTGAGCCATTTTCAGGCCTTTGAAAACGACGAGTCCGTCGAAACGTCGGCCAGAATAAAGATTCCCACCTAACAACCTCGTGGCAGAAGCAAAAATTATCAGTTTCAAGTACAAAGCAACATAGTTTATTTTTTGTAGGTTTACCCTAATGGATAAACCCAATATATATGTACGCAATGAAAGGCCATCAGCCAATAAGTGTCATGAAGGTGTAATGAATAAGCCATGAATACGCCATGTCAAAGGTTCGTTAACTAGACCGAGGTTTTTTTTTATCGTAAGGTTTTTCTATCAATAAGCTCTTCAAAGAACTTGGAATGCGTTGAGAACGTAAAACCATAAACATTATAGCTTTTAACGTCGGAAACGGAACGAATTGGTCACAGCCCAATTTTACTAATTAGGGAATCACAGCCAAGGAGAAATGCCTGAGTCATGCACGGAGATCATCCTCCAAAAAATGGAAAACAGGGCGTCGACTGGGTTGGCAGCCACCCACAAAACCAGGAATCAAGTCGGCCGCATTTTTATTCCGTCTCGCTTCTACTATTTGAGCCTCAGAGGTGGGCGTGGTCTCGGCTCATCGGCGGAGTCCAGTATGTGGGTTGTGGATTCGGTTGTTGAGCCGAGCCCGTCAATTGCACCCAATCAGGGTCAGTACCGTATCTGTTACTGTTCGTACTAGTAGCATCACTAAGTGAGAGAGGTCGGACAGCAAGAGATTCCCTCAGGGAAAACGGAAGAGCGGTGGGTGTCGAATGCTCTATATGCGCCATTTTCCTGATTTCTCTGTCAATGATTTTCACGGAGTACACGAGCAGCGATTTGTAGGGTGCTATGACATGCACAATAACCGATGGGCACTGACTCACTGTCAGTTTGTTCCCACCACAGACCAACAAAACTTCATCAGTTCATTCATAAATCTACGCCTAAGACTAACTGTAAGTTGGATGAAAACCTCTGCTCAGGCCTAAGCCTAAGTTCGATGCCAACTTCAGCTTAAGCCTAAGCCTAAGCCTAAGCCTAAGCC